CTTTTGAGTAGAAATGCATATTGCAATTTTTTTTGTTGCAAATAAAACTCAGTTCATAACTACTGTAGTTTTAACTTATTTCAATATATAAATTAAGTTAAATCATCAAACATTTGTATGACTTGACTTGCTTGACATAAAGAAGTGACTTGACTTGCTTGATTCTCACAAAAGCTGACTTGGACTTGCTTGAGACTTGAAGGTTAAGACTTGAGCCTTACTTGTGACTTTGTGTGACTTAGTCCCACCTCTGGCAATTTCACAGTACTCAATATCAATTTTAACCCCACAACAATATTCTAAGCACCTAAAGTTGGGCCAGATATCAAATTGCACCAAAAATGATGTAATTAAGTGACATTGTGCAAACTGTGATGATTGCTTTCAGTTGGTCAGTACATTTACTAAAGAGTGTCATTATTCATTATCTTAACTTATTTTGTAAATTGTAGAATTAGAAGATTCAATTACGTGAATTCGATTAAATTGTTTCAATGTATCAAATCAAGAAGTCTTTCTGTGTGTGTGTGTGTTTTGTATTAAGATGTTTTATACAAGTACACTACTGTTCAAATGTTTGGGGTCAATAAGATTTTTTTTAATAACATGTCTCTTCGTAAAGGATGCATCAATTTGATAAAAAGTGACAGTTAAGACAATCAGCATATTAGAATTATTTCTAAAGCATCATGTGACACTGGCATCTGGAGATATTGGAAGACTAGAGTGATGATGGTGAAAATTCAGCTTTGCCAACACAGGAATAAATAATATTGAAAAATTTATTAAAATAGATAACAGTTATTTGAAATGGCAATAATATTTCACAATTGGTGTTATTAAATGCAGCCTTTGTGAACATAATATATTTCTTAAAAAAAAATAAAAACATTTAAAAAAATCTTACTGGTCCCAAACTTTTGAGAAGTGGTGTATATGATGGTAAATATTGCTGTGCATTATTGTGTGTTGTTAATGGTGCATGCAAATGAAAATGACTAGATATCTTTTATTATAGAAAACATTCACTGATAATATTTAACCAGATGATTTACAGTGCTTTAGATCTTTAAAGATTAAACATTTTTAATCCACTTCGCAGGAAGTGTTTGATTGAAACGATAGTTTCTCTAATTACTCTAAAAATCCAAGCATATTTTTTAGCTATATTACTCAGCCTTAAAAAGCAACTAATACACACAAAAAAGTAATTAAAACAATGACATGAAGCATTCAAGTATTTCTCGATGAAGTAAACAAGTCATTATTCAAATAAACAGTCAAACATGAAATACATGCAGAGCAGTGAGAGATTTTCTTTTTTTTTTGGTCAATATTGTTGTTTGATTAATATCCTCACTATAACAGACAGCAGGTCTATCGGGCTGCATTTTTACAGTGCGCCAATCTGATATTTTGACACAATTCTGATTTGTTTTCATACTGCATGTTTACACTCACTGAAGACAAACCAAGCGTGTTTACACCAATGCCATGCCAGGACGAGAAATTAATTATGAAATGCATCTGACAGTTTACAAGTGCAGGTGCAATACCGTAAGGTGTAGCTGATTTTTAGAGAACACGCACACAAACACCCATGTGAACGCTCACCTGCAGCTGCCTGTTAGTGTATTACTTTTTTTTTCTACGAGTACTTTTGGCATCCCTGCTGCTCAGTGGTGTGAATGGAGCCATATGCACGTATACGCCGTACTGTATGCTTACTTATTGCCCAGTGCTGTTTGTGTATTATGACTTCTAAGGATCAATATTTGCGTATACCCTAGGTGTACCCCTTGTTTAGTTGCTTCACAAGTCTGCAATCTACTGTCATGTTAGCTTCCTCTTTAACTGTGTCCCATGCTGTTGCGTGAAAATCGTGATTCTTTGTTGTAATTGGTGCAGTAGCACAGGGGTCCGTATAAAGTATGAAGTTTTGTATACATTTTGTATATTTTGACATGACATGTTCCCATGAAAGAAAAATCCAATATAGCTGACGATATGGCCAAATACTGGACAAGTCACCTAACTTGAATTATACATTAGACTGCATTTGGTCCTCTCAAAGACACAAAGGATACATAGAGGAGTCAATTTTGTTCTGGGGGTCCTTGAGGATGGTTCTGAATTGGACTGGGGTCCGGTTCACTGCATTAGCACATCTATCATTCTATATTTTTCCTCCCCATCATCGATTGAATGAGTGTGTCCACTGTAGTGAGAGAATTCCGCTCAGTGCTGCTCGGTGTTCAGTGTTTTAAGCGGTATTGAGCACAGTTCTATCGGTGCAGTGGACATGTGCCATTAGGAAATATCGTTAGGTAAAATGAATCAAAGAACAAAACAAAAGTAAACCACTTTTTTAGGACTAAACTTCTGAAGATGATGCACAGTGAAAAATGATCGTAATTTTAGCTGTGGAACTGCTGTGGTTAAAAAGAGCTAATTGGTTAACAGCAAGATAAACAGCAATAACGTTTGTTCTGGACTTTTGTGATACTTTCAGCTGTCTGAAAACAAAACAGATTTCACAACCTGTCTAAATATGTTCACCTTGGTTCATTTATGTACATAATACAAAAGTATCTATAAAATCACACATTGTTAAGATATCAGTCAACATTTGAACCACTTTAAACTGTTTTTTTTTTGTTTGTTTCTTTAGAAATTTGATTAACTTGAAACCCAATACCTACATTTATAAGTGTAATCCTGCATTCTCTCTCTCTCTCTCTCAAAAAAGAATCCTGTCGTCACCACCATCAGGGTGGCAAAGGATCCATTTCTTGTATCATTTTTGGCTCAGAAAACGCATTTCAGGATGTATTTCAAGGCCGCATTAGAAGGAGCCTTCAAAATGGGACAGCCTTAGGCCCTGGTATTAAGGTGCATTTTTGTCGATCCGATCACAAGTGTAAATACAGGTGTAAACTAGGTCTGAAATGTTTTGAGCCTGTCCACTTTCTACCACTTCCAAAGGTAGTCGAAAGACATTTGACCAAACTGCTTTCGTAGATGTGGTCGAACACATTCAAACAGCCACTAATGACTGCCTCTCTGCCTACTGAGAGCACAATGTTCTCTAACCAGTCCTGATTCTATTACAAACCCACAGTTTTTGCTGTGGTCTATTTCTGCTATCAGAGCAGAAACGAATCCTGCTGCTCTCTGTATATTTTTCAGTTGCCTCCTTTTGCTTTCTAAGTACTTTGTCCAAGCTTATTTCACAATATCAGATCGAAAGATCAGAAAAAAGTGCGTTCTTGCAATATCTGTTCTTGCACATACTAAATGTGATTTTTTTCGATCGCGAACATACATATACATATACAAAATTCCTAGCGACAACCCTGCAATTTGTACACCTGTCCACAGACCCTCCCCTCAGAGGAATCAGGAGTCTCTGTGTCTGTGAAGCACGTGTCTCTGTCATCTACTTGTGATCCAATCGAGCAAAACGCATCTTAATACCAAGTGTAAACAGGGCTGATATGACGCATTCAGTTTTGGAATGCAGCCTTCAAAGAATGCAATCCCGGAATTGGGACACGGTTTACACGTGGTTTTTGGTCACACTTTATTTTAAGATCCTAATTCTCACTATTAACTAACTATAAACTACAACTTTTACCTCAATGAACTCCTAATTTACTGCTTATTAATAGTAAAGGAGTTGTTAAGTTTAGGTTTGAGGTAGGATTACGGGATCTAAAATAAGTTCATGTAGAATAAGGTGCTTTATAAGTAGTAATAAACAGTCAATATGCAAGTAATATGCATGCAAGTTAATAGTGAGAATTGGTCCTTAAAATAAAGCGCTACCAGGTTTTCTTATTACCACCTGTGTTTTTTTGGTGATTATTAGTGTATTGTAAAGGTACAAAACAGACGTATGTGCTTTGGTAGGTTGGTATATTAACATTTTACTGTATAAGTTAAAGGCACAATATGTCAGATTTTTTTATTAAAATATCCAAAAACCACTAGAACAGTGTTATCTATTTTGCTGACTTGTGTACTTACATTATCCCAAATGTTTTGAAGAATGTTTAAATCCAGAGAAATAAGCCATTTTAACTAGTGACACGGACCATAGTGTCATTGTGTCGCCTGCCAATGACGTCATAACCCCTCGATTTCTGGTTTTGTTTTGTAGAAAACATGGAAACACCAAAGATGCGAGGTCGACTGTGGCATAATAAATGCTCCGCTGCTTTCGAGACGTGTGTCACGCTCGTTCAGCGGCCTCGTTTCGCTTCGACGGCTTTCAGCCTCACCCTGCTTCAATCTACTACACTGTAAAAAATGACCGTGAATTTAACGGTAAAAGACTGTAAAAATGCTTACGGTTTTTTTACAGTGTATGTTAATAAGTCATTAGCTCATCCACACAGCAAAATCCCCAGAGTTAAATCAACTCTGCTCAGAGTACATATTGTCCCAAACACTGAAGTAGAGTTACCACTGTTGAGGATTATGTGATATGTTTTCATGTCTAAAAGCCTGAGCAGTAGTTGTTCATCTTCAACATTGTTAACAGCGGGTTTTCTTTAATAATGCTCACTCATCAATTAATTAATTGCTTAATTATCCCATTAACGTTTACTCTGCTTCAGTGTTACTTTAACACTCTGTAGAATGGGACAATATGTACTCTGAGCAGAGTTGATTTAACTCTGGGGATTTTGCTGTGCATGAACATGATTTCTGCCCGAGTCGCGTCGAATTGCTTCGGCTGTGGGGATGAAGACGAAAACTCCCATGATTCCACACTCAATCACGGCGTCATCAAACTACGCCTTTGCCTCTTTGTTTATTTTGAATACGCGCCCTCTAGAGGCAAAAATTACATATTGTGCCTTCAATACAATATACTGTGAATTTAGTTCAATGTGTAAAACCTAAAATGTTCCTACTGTATTTTTTCCACTGCTGCCAGTTTTTTTTTTTCTGTAAATTTTTAATGTCTACAGTGTGGGAAATGTCATCTTTACCAGCTGCTGGCCTCGCGGTCCCCATCCTGCATACTGCAGATGAGCGTTTCGCACTTCTGGAGGGTTCAGGATCCACGTTTCCCTGTAAAAGTGAAGCAAAGCCATTGCTAAACAACTAGTTGGCTATTGGATGACAAGCAGACTAGTTGGCCATCCTGTTCCAGACAGACAGACAGGCAATCAGTCAAACATTCATGTCTTTAGAGGGCTAACAGCGCACACTTCCTCTATGTGGTGCAGTGGAGCGTGTGCCAACAGATATTGATTCCATCATGGTGTACTACACAGCCCAACACAACAGCACGGCGAATAAAGCACCATGAGGGAATTCCTGAGGCAGGGAATCTAACAGTGATAGCATATCCCGGTACGCTGTTAAATCCGGCCAGGGCAGCAGCCCAGCGCTGTGTCAGCATCTGTTCCATCTGACAGAGCTCATAAATATACATGCTTTATTCTGTTGCCGTTTACAAAGGCGCTGTGCACTGCAGGCCCAAAAATTACAGGTGGCACGAGCTGTACGTCCCTGTGCTAATCGTGAGACAGACAGGCAGGGAATTTGTTGGTAGGACCACAGGATAGCAGAAAGATTCAGTTCTCTGAATGGCTTCGATGTGACGTGAGCAGCAAAATGCTGCATCAGTGTTTTCCTCGGTTGTATAATGACAAATGGACTTTGTAAACTAATGCGACTGTTATATGAGCTCAGCGACTTACGGAGTTTCCAGACTGCAAATGATGTAGTCCGCAGTGAAGGAGTGCTCGTAAACCTGAGAGTTTGAACAACACAAAGACAAACAGAGACAGAGAGAGAAATTAAACTGTGCAAGAACAGCAGCTACTGCCACTACAAGCACCAAAAAAAGCTCTATTAGCGATAACGTTTGAGAGGCTATGCATTACAGTGATTTTACCAAAGTTAAAGGGTGATTTTAGCCACAATGTGAAGAGGACAGATTTTTACCATGGTAAAGCACAATACTACACTACATCAAATGGCTTTTTTTAAAACAAAAGCAAAATGTACCAATGTTTAATAAATGAAACAATTAGTACAATTAAAGCATAAAAAAGTCGCGTTTCAAATTTTCTGTAGACAATATGATGATTGTTTTCCTGCGCTAAACTCACTGGCACAAATCAAAACATATTTTAATCGATTGATTGATTGATTGATTCATTCATTCATAAAATAAATAAATAAATACATGCAATACAGAGGATTTGAGTCATTGGTTCTAAATTGCATTTATTTATTTATTTACTTCTGATTTAAAATTACAACTGGTAATTTAGATTTACAATTACACATTTAGCAGATTATTTTGTATCCAAAGCGACTTCAAAAAGAGAATCCAAATCAATTTGTCAAAGAGCCAACAATATTTGTAATATACTGTACAATGGCAGGTTTATTAGACAATTAGATTAGGAAGCAAGCTAGAAGAGAGGATAAACGCAGAGAAAGTGTTTATTATCATGTCTGCATATTAAATGTATTAAAATATATATTTTTTAAATTGACATTACAAGGCTAGTTTAAATTGCAAAATCTCAAGATACACTATGATAATTATTATAATAATATTTTTTGAATGTTTTTGAAATTGTGTTATGTATATTAATAATTTATGATATTTGTTAAGCCTTTTACCTTGATTTTTTTTTTTTTATATTTGTGGTATTCATTTGGTTATTAACAAAGTACTTGAAAATAAGGATTGTTTGTTAATATAATTAATATTAGATTTTACATGATGGTTACACAACATGACATACAAATGATTTTATTTAGCATAACTTTATTTAAATAAAATACTTTATTACATTTTCTTCTCATTTGAAATCGTATGTTTTTCTAACTAACAAATTATAAACAAATTATTACAAACAAGCTAGATTTTTAAATATTGTTTTAAAGATTAAATAATAATAATAAAACACACAACTAATAATACAATTTATAATAAACACACAAACAAACAAACAAACACAACAGTACATTAGCCCCTCTGTAGGCTGCTTCTTGGTGCATTAATGCAGAATTCATATGATGTGTGGTCACAGATGTGCTTCAGATATGGCACGTCAAATCAGATTTCAGAGGCAGAACCAATTCATTTTATAAAATCCTAATCCATCGTTGCTAAAGAAGGCAGGAGCGCTGTTGTATCACTCTGAGGACAGTGTCAACAGCTGTCCGTGAGCCAGAGGGCTGACCGCAGCATATGCTCACAGCTGACATGAGCTTGACACGTGTGCTGTAGCAGAGCTGTTAATACTGTCAAAGATTAACATTCAACACCTGTACTCACCACCGCCCTCTGTCTTACAGATGCAGAGAGATGGAGAGCTCCTTTGTGAAGGGCAAGCAGCAACATGACAGAGTTTGAGAATGAGGGGCGTTATGAACGCGTGTGTGTGCGCATAGGCAATGACAGCTGGGGGACGAGGTTGTCATCCATCAAGGTGATGTTGGGACGGGCACTGAATAACAAACTAGAGGCAGCACTCACACTCTTTTCTTTGGCTCACTCTTTCTTGTCATGTGTGTGTGAAGTGCTCTGGTGTCACTGTCCCAGAGCTGATGACACCTTCTCCTCCGTCTCTTCAGCTCTGTACGACAGCTGCCCTGATCAAACTAACTCATCACTTGCTGCTCAGACCTGTGGTGTCCGACTCTAGCATCCTTCAGAGTTTGTGCTTTCATCATCTGGGTTCACACTAAAGCTTTAGGTGCGGTCTGTATGAAGACGTTTCCTGAAATTAGGTGTGCAGCAAAGAACCAACTCTGTGTTAGCTTGAATATTGTGGTTTGGAGCAGGGCTACAGCACAGCACAGCACAATAACAACGAATGCTAACTAAATGGTAGGAATGATCCAAAAGAAGAAAAAATATATATAACAGAAATTATTACATGAATACAATTGTAAATGGGAAGACATTTAATATAGTAAAATAAGAAATGAAATGTTACAAAATTAATATTATTAAGAATAAATTAATATTACCATTGATTATACTATTAACAAAAATGTACACTTGAGATGCCAAACTATAAGAGTTTTACCAAATTTATGAAAGAGTACTGCTACTGATAACACATAAAAAATAATAAAACTGGCAAACAACATTTAATTCCACACAGGCGTTTACACCGCACTCTTGCGTTTATATATATATATATATTTTATTTTTTATTTTTTTTATTTTATTTTTTTTTGGTGGGTCAATCAATTTAATTACTTCAGATATGAACCAAAGATCTGCACTCAAAGTTTTTCAAATCTGCTAGTGCATTTTATTTTACATTTGTCACCACATGGGAAACACAAAGGTTTCAGCTCTATGCCTTCTTCATGTGTTACATAGTTTCATCGCTCCACACACTTATTAAACCATTGTGTTGACGTCATCATTTACAAAATTCGGATGTGTGCAAAAGTGTGGATCTTTGGTTCGTATGTGAAAAAACATTTAATAAAAATATGAATAAAAATTAACTTAATATTAATATTATTAATTCAATTTCATAGAAAAATAAATACAAATAATATATTTTTATTTTAAAATATTAAAACAAATTGTACACTTTAAAAAAAGTACAACTGGGAAAACATTGATATAGTAAAATAATTAAACAAAAATAATTTTAATACTTAAATTAATAACACTATTATTCATAACATATACAGTTATTTTATTTTAAAATACAAAAATAAAAATATACCGTTTTAAACATGAAAAACTATAAAAACGCAAAAGACAATTTGACCAAATTTATGAACGTGATCTGCTATTGATGATAATTTGTGGGTAGTAGCATAATGCATTCCTTAGAAAGCACAACATTTCCTTTCAACTATGACTTTTCCATCTGATTGGATAAAGATCATTTAGTAGTAATTGTTAGCTGATGAAATACATTGGAACTGAAAAGTACAACATAGACATTTCCTTTACATTTTAAAATTTGCATTTCAATTTCAAAGTCTGGAAATCACACTTTCAAATTCCCTGCTATTTCCAGGCTTTTTGTTGCCATCTCCTTTTGAATTGTTGCCCAGCTAGCAACACCTGCGGCTAATTCTTACAATCATGCAGAAACCCTGTGGTTTGGAGCCATACTGTATAACAAAATATGAAAAGAGATGGGGGTGAGGGTGGAATAGAAGTCGAGCTCAGACCAACCAATCAAGCCAAGTGTGAAAACAGCTTCTGTCTTCCTCTCCCTTGACTGGCAGGTGTGTGTTTGTGTGTGTGTGTGCCCGCGCTTGCTCGGTTTCTGTCACTCCAGTGGGGTGTATTTGGTTCTGGTGAGGCGGTGGAGTGTGACGGCCCTTTCACATCGTGCAATGATTACTTTCATCTCAACACACACATACAACACCCACATAAACACAGGCCTCACCGGCTGCACGTTGTAGGCAAGCAGAACGAGTTTCATATCTGGGGAAACCTCATATTTGCTGGCTTTGTACATTTCCTGGAAAAAAAGAAAAGAGAAAAGGTAAATGAGACTTTTAGAAAGCATAGTTCCATTACCATATTCCTTAAATGACTGTGACAGATTGCAGTGAGCAGGCACAGGGAGAGCGCGGCATTAATCAGAGCTGTCACTCTTGGATTCTCAACAAACATCATGTTCTGTGTCCCTGCCTCCACTGTTTTGCATCCCAACTGCTCCACTTTAACCATCTGAGGCTGTTAACGAGTTACATAGAACATTGCTCTAATGATGGACACGTTCAGCTCTATTAATAACAATAGAACTGTCGGTCCAGTGATGTGCTGTTTGACGGTGGAGTAATTTATACTCTGCTTGCATGTGCTGAAGGCACAATATACATTCACAATGCATTTATCTTTCATAATGTGACATATTCATTAGGAAATAATATAGGATGGTAGTTGAATGTACACAGCACATTTCATTAGTATTATATTATCAAGTACAGTTTATTATATATATTTATATAATATATATTATATATATATATTATATTATTCCCCATAGTGCATCCTGTTGTTCCCCAGGTAAGCGATGCACACACACCCGGCCATCCATGTGATGTAAAAGAAAACGTAATTCATCAGACCAGGCCACCTTCTTCCATTGCTCTGTGGTCCAGTTCTGATGCTCACGTGTCCACTGTTGGCACTTTCGGCAGTGGTTTGCAGCTATGCAGCCCCACACACAACAAACTGTGATGCACTGTGTATTCGAACACCTTTCCATCAGAGCCAGCATTAACTTCTTGAGCAATTTGAGCTACATTAGCTCGTCTGTTGGATTGGACCACACAGGCCAGTCTTTGCTCCCCACATGCATCAATGAGCCTTGGCTGCCCATGACCCTGTTCCTTCCTTGGACCACTTTTGATAGATACTGACCACTGCAGACCGGGAACACCCCACAAGAGTTTTGGAGATGCTCTGACCCAGTCGTCTAGCCCTCACAATTTGACCCTTGTCAAACTCGCTCGAATCCTTATGCTTGCCAATTTTTCCTGTTTCTAGCACATCAACTTTGAGGAAAAAATGTTCACATGCTGCCTAATATATCCCACCCACTAGCAAGTGTTGTGATGAAGAGATAATCAGTGTTATTGTCATAATGTTATGCCTGATCAGTGTTATTGTCATAATGTTATGCCTGATCAGTGTATGAAAACAAGCGTCATTTATTCTAAAGAGTAAAGCACAAATGCATTTTCAGACAAATCCTTACACAAAATAATGTTAGAAATAATAAAACAAAAGATTAAAGATTGTTTAAAAGTGTGGCATTTTCTAGTCAAATATTGTGGATCATGTTGATTAATGTGATTCCCTACACCTGTGGTACCTCTGCTAGGACACCTGTGTGAACTTGAGGAGAACTGACTTCATACATCCACTTAAAATCATCAAAACACCAGATGATTAAAAAGAAATGCCCCAAAATGATGATGACTAAATGATATTTCATACTTTTTGGAATCACTTTAAAAGATGAATCGTTCAGAAATAGCAGAAGTAACATTTATTAAACGGTTTTGATTTTCATATGTCTTCATAACAATATTTCACCTCAAATTTTCTGAAAATGTACCCACAGGCCATGAAGGATGTAGATAAGTTTGTTTCTTTATTGGAACAGATTTGGAGAAATTTAGCATTACAACACTTGCTCACCAGTGGATCCTCTGCAGTGAATGGGTGCCGTCAAAATGAAATGAGAGTCCAAACAGCTGATAAAAACATCACAATACATCAAGTCATCCACACAAATCCAGTCCATCAATTAACAGTTGTGAAGTGAAAAGCTGTGTTTGTATAATCAAATGCATTATTAAGAATTTCAAACTTTTATTATGGATAGAGGACTCAAATTTTAGTTGGAAACAACGGTTTGAAGTTGAAAACATCTTGATGGATTATTTATGACAAACGTGCAGCTTTTTACTTCACAAGATGATAACCGATGGACTGGAGTCGTGTTGTGATGTTTTTATCAGCTGTTTGGATTCTCATTTTGACGGCACCCATTCACTGCAGAGGATCCAATGGTGAGCAATTGATGTAATAGTAAATTTCTCCAAATCTATTCCGATGAAGAACAAACTCATCTACAGCTCGGATGCCCTGAGAGCAAATTTGCAGCAAATTTTCATTTTGGGGTGATTTTCTAATTTTCCTTTTGAAGGGCTTCACAATTTTAGGGGGAAGAAAGAGTTGGAGTAAAACACTTACAAACTTCCTGTTTGTGACCAGGATTGTACTCTCGTTGGTCTCCATGTTAAAGCGGACCACATCACCTTCACGAGTACGATAGAGGAGCTCATTACCTAAAGAGAGAGTATCAGATGATGAGAGTTAGTGGGATAAAAAGTGAAGGAGAAATTAGTCATTGACTGTCTCTCACTCGTGCTCTCTGTCAATAATATAGTCATGAATGTGCCCATCAATGCTCTCTAGCTGTACCGGGGGGCTGACAGTTGAAAAGGAATGATAAAACTTTTCATTTTTGGTTTTCCACATTTGACGCTGACTTTGGCAAGGACATCAGCAAAAAGCTCTTTGAGAGGTCTGGAATGTAGCACACAGCCCTCAGTGAGAAAAAGGCAAAAAGAGCAAACAGCCCCATCGCCGCTTTTAATTGCGGATTAGGGGAGTGGTGCGCAAAGGCTTTTTTATCTTGTTTGCATAACTAATCGGTGATAAGAGGTGACACAGTTACCTTCACAGTCACATTAAAGCTAAAGTGGAAGGCACTGAAAGTCACATGGAACACATTTTTTCTTTTTTACTGTAGATACAAAAAAAATGGAATTAGTATGAAATAAATAATCTGAGATGGACATAAAACACAAGTTACTTAATGTGCTGCATGCTGAATAATAATGGCTTAAAGCATGTTTTTTTCCCCCTTTAATGGTTGCTGTTATGCTCTGAATGTTAAATTTGCTCATTTTATGGTGATTGTTGGGACAAAGGTGCCCTTCACTCTGGTATTTCCATGCCTGAAATTGACTAGCAAGCTGATAAGATGCCAGAACAATCATTTGTCGACTTGACAAATTCCTCCTTTCTCGCTCTTCCTCTGACCTGATGTTGGGCTGTACGTTTCAGATCAGAACCTCATCAAGCATCTTCTTCCCCTCTTTTCTCATTCATCTCTCAAACTCTATCCATCACACAACATTCCCCGGACTCCTGTACATTCAGACTCCTGTAAGCTCATCCTAGACTTCAAACTGTCCTTCATTTGATCCACCACTCAGTCCCTTTCGCTAGCTCATGTTTTGTCATTTGATTGTGCTCCTCATGTGATATTCTCATGTGCGTCCATTGGATCATGTGTTATGTTTTCATTGGTTTGTTGTCCTGTCAGGTGGTTCTCAGTTCTGTCTTGTCATTGGTTCATTGTCTTGATTACTTTCAGGTTTATCTTGTTAGTCATTAGTCCCAATGTTTCCTTTGTCTCTTGTCTAGCTTTGTTATTGTAAACTGCTGTTGATGAGTGTCATGTTCACGTTCAAGTTAAGTCATAATTTGTTCCTGTGGCTTCTGTATTGTTTGGTCATTGCTTGTTATAAAAAAAAAAAAACTGCACATGGGTTCTCTATTTCAAAATGGATGGACAGATGATTCAAGTTTAAAAGATAATGGCATTACAGTATATTGTATTTTATAAATGCTTTTTAGTACATTCAGCAGGATATTTTAACAATATTTTAAGAGGTAATTATGAAATTACATATAACGATGTAACTAGTGTTGCACTTAAGTTGGTCACAAAGGCACTCTAAAATTTAACTAATTGCTTTTAATTTACATTTAATCTATCATACACTTTCATTTAATCATGCAATTAACATGCAATTAAGTATTCAAAAACATTCAGTTCCCTTTCAGTCGGTCACTCGCGGGATCTCGCTTAGAGAGACCAATCTACTTCGAGTGTAAACTAAACGAGCCACTGCACATTGGCATGCGCTTATTGCATCCAGCTGCCGCTGATCACAGGGTGAGTATAAGTAGGCAGCAGATGCAGCAAATATTCAGTTTTTTTCGCTTCGGAGCCGAGCGATCACATCGTTCTGCTCCTGACTACCCTACTGAGAGAAGAAGACTGAACGAGTTCAGCACGCTCTTGGAGAGCTCTTCGTGTTGGCGGTACGGTGCTTCAGCGGTGGTGGTTTCCCGTGTCGAGTGGGTTGCACACATCAGGCTGCACTACCCCCTGTTTGTGTTGCAGATGATCATCTGCCCTGTGTGCCTCAGCACGCTGAAAGAGCTTTTTCCCCTAAAAGAGCAATTTCGAGTGTGTCTTTTTAAAGACGATGTTGCCTGGCAAACTTGACGTTACGTCTTTGTAAAAACGATGTGGGTCTTGCAATAGACAACATATCACCCGAGCGTTTCTGGATGCGGTCGTTACCTGGCGCTGGGTGATGGTCACGATCGCTGCCTCACGTGCCTGGGCATGTAGCACGCTGAGGTGGCGTTTGTGGATGAGTCATCTTCTCATTGCGGGAAGATGATCATCTCGGAGTCGTGGGCCAAGCTCCGTTTCCTCAAGGGGCGGAGTTCCGTTGCCTCTGCTTTGATCTAGCTCTCCTCTTGGCGGCAGCCAGAGGGGGCTACTTCAGGCAGTAGCGCGGGCGGTCTGGGGCACTCCGCAGCCAGTTGAGCTGCCAATGGAACGTGCTGGGCCCTCTACAAGGAGCGTACCAGCCATATCCTTTGGTGCTCCTCCCGCGACCAGATGTCGATTGCTGCATCAGAGGGTGAGCCAGAGCTTTCTGGAGAGGAAGATTCGGCTGCACTGCTCTCCTCCG